CCTTTACTAACATATTTTACTCGTATAAATAGACTTACTGTAGTACGTAGTTATTTATTTATTTATTTACTAAATTATTTATTTTCCTCCTCTTTGTATACTAAATAGGTAGATACATACATAGTACATATTTCTAAACGCGAATGTATTTAAATGTACATACATACATACAATATTAAAAAAAAAAATACTACAAACCAATTTCAGATGTACATTTGTGAAATGGGAATTCATTATGCATAGTTTTTATATTAAGATACTTCACATACTTATTTATGATAATAAAATTAAGAATTTCATACTTGCATATGCCCTTTGTTGTAACGTAAATATGTATGTTACCAGTTTAGAGAAAATTTTAATTTTTGGTAATCCACAGCGGAGCAAAGTCTGAGTATGAGGAACTCCAAGGATTTGGGTTATTATGTTGAGCCCTAGCGCAAAAAAAAAAAAAACGTAAGCCACAGTGTTTTCAAAAGTTTCGTTCTCTTAGAGCATCCAATAAATTATGAATCAAAAATAGGTATTTGAAAAAATGTCGTTTATGATTTTTTGGGCGGGAGTGCAATATACAAGTGCGTGTGTGTGTTCGCTGTTCTTTGTTTATGCGGGAAATGCATAAGTCGCTTAAACAATATCTATATAAATACGTCAGAAAAAAGGCTTCGTACGACTTCAAGAGATTTTGTAAAGAAATTTTACTCAGATATATATTATACTTCAATGAAATTACGAAATATGTATATTAGGGATAAGTGCATATCGGTACCTTAATTTACAAATGCCCTAACCAACAATTTTTTCGAAACTGCGTTTATCACAGATTTTATAAGAAAATATTGAAATACACCTTTGATACAAATTTTAAGGTGCTAGTACCAAAAACAACGGAGTTATATGCCACTTTTCTTGATTGTCTTTTTATAAGGTTTTTTTGATTCTCCTGTAAAATAAAATTTTGGTTAGGGCCTTTTTAATTGACGCAACGATATGTACGTTTTAAAACCATCGTCACTGGAGGAATAGATTTTTTATCCCGCGTCGGGAGCATGACCAAAATCACGCTTAAATAGCATAGAATCTATTGATCTTAAGGTTTTTCCACACTCCAAAGTTAACAAAAGCCCCCAAAAAAAAAGCGAATTTTCAGCTGCGTTTTAGTCTCGAATACATTTTTTTTTTAAATTAAAATACATATGTTTTGATGTTATACCTAATTATTTATTGATTGGATCCCGTTTGATGTAGTTGCATGTGCGCAATTGCACTCTGATTTACCTAGGTGGTACGATCATAGACCGAGCAACCCAAAAAAGTATTTTTCTAAAGCGAACGGAAAATAATTTGATAATAACACGATAAAACGATATAACGACAAAAAGCAATCACGAAATACAGTCAAAATAAAACTCAGTGCAGGTTGTGGATATGGTCGAGTATCACGATTGAAACTCAAAGGAATCACTTAAGGATTGATTGTCCCTTCATGCAAAATAATATATATATATATGTATATATATATATATGTATATGTGATTTGACAAGGAACCATTAATAACATTAATTGATCACATGAACTGTCATTGTAAAATTCACCATGAATGAAATGTTGTACAAAAATTTAAATATACCATTTCTGTTTTTGCCGAGAACAAAATTTGACCAACAATTCTTTTTGTAATTTTTATGGTTATTATTATAACATTGTTCGTATAACGGTTGTTTGTAACAGCAAAAGCGAATCGAGATAGATATAGACAAATGTATACATAAATGCTCAGAATGAATAGAGATTAAGCCATGTCTGTCTGTCCGTCCGTCTGTCCGTCTGTCCGTCCGTCCATGTACACGATAACTCGAGCAAAAATTGAGATATCTCAACGAAATTTGGTATGTAGGTTTCCCTTAATCCAAGGTAGGTTGGTATTGAAAATGTAAACTGTAACCACGCCCAATTCCCATATAAGATGAAGATGCAAACCCACGTTCTTGCGTTTTTGTTAAATTGTATTCGCGTTGAAAATGCTAGCACGCAGCTAAGTTAAGTATTTATTTTTTTATTTTCTTGATTATTGATTGATTACACAGTTCGAAAAATTTTAACTTTTTTTGCCACCTGAGTGGAACCGTTTTGTGTAGATTTTTCGGTGCTAAATCAAAATCTAGCTGCAGAATTTCTCTACCACGTCAGAATTTTGAGATATCCTAGCCTCTAAGTGTAAAAACACGGTTTTTCGCATTATTTGAGGTTATATTATAAAACAACAAATTTTTTCGCTAATTTCTACTTAGGGTATCATTAAGTATTACTCTTCCCCTTTAAAATTCAATTTCGTTTGTTGCGATTCGTTTGTTCCTTGTCCAGATGTACCACTTTCGCAAGCATGAATGTGTATTTATTTACACATGTAAATATTGTTTATTTTTTTACTTTTGTTTACCACAAACTGTTATGAAAAAGAGTATCCTTTGATAAAAAAAAAATTTAGTGCTTTTAGTGCGGTAAAACGCTCTTTTTTCCAAGGTTTGGTGCTTTTTGAAACTGAAAAGTTGGCAACACTGCGGTAAGTGAACAGCTGAACAGTTGTCGCAGTGAAATCTGTCAGAGTAAACACAATTGCGGCGCACGACGGCTTCCGTCAGTTGCCATTTTGATTTGAAAATTATCATTAAAATTAAAATTTTTTTCCTTACGTGCGTGTATGTACATAGATTTTCTGGAAATATGGATGAACACATTAGTAAACTTGTGAAAATAATATAAATTACTACAATCAACACTCAATCAATATTGTTCCGTCCCCGCTGGGCGGTGAAAATATAAATAAATTTAAATCAACCGAAAAACGTTGGTGGAAAAACGCTGCCGCCGCACTTATGGACCATTCCATATGCCGTTGTGAGTTTTAATTTTGACAGTGGTTAACCGTCGACCGCTTTACCGTCGCCCGCTGCAATTCTGAGTAGAGCTTTAGTCGAATACAATGGGTGCAATCTAGACAGCGGAAAACCTGGAGTATTTTTATTGGAAAAGCGTAGTTGTGAAGAGGCCGTTAGTGAATCCAGATACGGTTTTATTATAGACCGTCTCCAACTCCTAGATCGGCTGTATCATATGGGATTTTTTAATTAACTCCGTAGTGACTCCTTCTCCATTCTTGCGATCATTCTTAACCACCTCTAAAATATTTTCAATATGCTGACCAATGGCGATGAGCTCTAGTTATTGTCTTCATTTGCAAATTGTTTACTGTAGGTTCCAGCAACGTTGAATATTTAGCAATTATCATTAAAGCAATGATGAACATCGGCCTTGTTATAGCAGCACACAATTGATACGCAGGCTTTCTTGTGGAAAAGTTTCCCTGAATTGACAACTATTCTAAAGCTTGCACAACTTCAGGGAAATTTCCTGATAGCCTTATATTTTGCCGACCATCTTGTTTCACACAAACGTGATATATTAGGATCATAATTCTTGCGTGTCGTTGATTCGCAAAAAAAGTTTGTCACATCTTTTAGGGTAGAAATAGTATTTCTTATTTCTGGAACCTCGTTTGAGTCATTCACAATAAGATTTAACGGAAGAGGAGGTGTTTTTCTCGTTGGGTTTTCCATCCTGTTCATCACAGATTGGTAAGAAAAACTCAAATGCGTGTTTCATTCAATTCTGTACCAATTCAATGCTTAACGCTATCCTTACTTCATTGGATCCATGATTAAAAACGCAGGCTTTTTGTGGAAATGGAGAGCATAATTACGAATTCGATTACGCATAAAACTTTGTATTTTTTATTTATTGATTTTTGAAATTTTCTCCTTCGTTATATACCTGTAAGGGTAGACATTCGCGAATGTGAAAAATATGACATTCGAAATATCCCTAGTATGTATAATAATAATAATAATAGATTGGCGCTTACACATATGTTAGTGTTTGGCCGAGCTTCTCCTCCGACTTGTGGTGTGCGCCTTGATGTTGTCACACAAAGCGGAGGGACCTACAGTTTTACGCCGACTCCGAAAGGCGATTGTATTTTTATGAGAAGCTGTTTTTCATGGCAGAAATACACTCGGAGGTTTGCCATTGCCTACCGAGGGACGGCCGCTGTTAAGAAAAAACCTTTTTCTATATCTTTTGCGATGTTGCTTTGACCAGGGCTTGAACCCAGGTGCTGATGAGTGAAAGCGCGCACTGCTTACCACTACACCACAGCGGCCGCCTAGTATGTATACTCGAACATAAATAACTGCGTCTCGGTCAGGCTGTTTATAGAACTTTTCTTTGTGGGTGCAACTCAAACCAACTGCCGACCGCCGAGTTTATCAATGCCGAATTTTAACAGCCGAAATTAATCATTTTACGGAACCCTTGTGACTTGGGTTCCGCGGACCACACTTTAGGAAGCTCTCGTATAAGGTATCGTTGGAAAGGTATTGAACTACACTAAGTGTGTCGGGTGTACCCATATAATTCCTTAAATCGACAAAAGTAAAAAAAAATTAAGAATTCGGAGGATCGTTTATAGAACTTGAATACATTTCTGCACACCCTGCAAGACCTTTCCAACGATACCTCAAACATGTAGAAAAAGCTTCCTATTCTCGTGTACATATATATTTAGTACATACATATGTACATATAAGCGGGGCAATTTTGAGCTCGCTACTGGGTCCGCTTTCGTATTTTTACTGTGGGCATATGTTGCCTATCGCAGCTTAACGAAAGCAGAGCATTCGCGCGCTTACTTAAAATGCCTTGCAGTCCACGAACAAAGTGCACTTCCGTTTTTTCACTATTGCCTCGACAATCTTATGTTCCCTCTACATTTTCACTGCATTTTCTCTCGCTTTGCCAGTTTATAAGCAACCGGCTGTAGCCGCACTATTCATTGGTTACCATTTTGGTCAATTAGACAGTGATTGGGAAACTGAAAATGCACGAAAACGTTTTATAAATTCCATGCAAGACCGAAATCGCGCAGTCGAAGTGCAACGTATGTGCAGTGCAGATGTTGAGGTAACGGTAAAAGTGAAAATTTCAGTGCTCAAAGACAATGCGAAACTCTGTTTGTATATTTGCGTTGAATCTTCTTTGTCTGCTGCATTCGTGCCGCACTCGAAAAGTGGATGAACTATTAACTGAGCTCAATAAAACGACTCCCTCGTCTTACCGTGTATCCGCACCAAAGCTGAAACAACCCTTAAATAGGGTACCGGCCCACCTTCAAGACATTGGCTATGTTTATGAAGACGCAGATGATGTGATTCATATCATTGAGCCTCCGCAACGATTTCAGTTATTGAAACGGCTCGTAAGTCAGACGGAAAACCCACGAAAGCTAAGGATTACTCGCGTGGAGTCAATGAACCATTACAGTTTGCCAAAGCCAATGGCAATGACAGCCGCCACGGCCGAAATATTCAGTGCATCGAAATTCAAAGCGAAAGTGAAGAAAATGCCCGAGTCTACAGTTAAACAGCTGCAACCAGTGAAGCAACAACTCGGAGGAGGCATACAAGTAAATCAACCAGTCAAACTGCTTCATACGCGCGCGCATAATGGCAAACCAGTATTCAGCAACGATGACTCTATAGACTTAGTGCCACAGGAAGCACAGACATTGGCAATGATGTCGCCACCGCTGCCACTGCCGCGCGAAATTTTAGCGTCCGTTCGTAAAACAGAGCGACTGCTTCAGCAGCAACCACAACCAAAACAGCATTTGCATCGAGTTACCCAGCGTCAAAAAAAGCTCGCAACCCATACAGTAGTTATTGGTCAAGCTTTCGAGCGTAACAAATTTTATCGAACCACTGATCATAAAATAATGGACGAAAAATTACGAAAACCCCGCGTTCGTCGTGAAGTACGTAACATTCCTATTCATGGGGAATCTTTCGCAGGAGCTCGAAGGACTGACAAGCTACCATCAGCGTTAGACGTCCTCAAAAATGCTAATTTGGATATTCAAAAGGGAACCAAGTTACTTCTGCACTTAGATGAGTTATTAAAAAATGCCAGCTTATATTTGCCGGATAAAGGCGAAGTTGTCGACTTGAGTGAAAAAAGCAACAACTCTAATAAGAGCTTTTTAAAGAGTATAACTAAATCTGATGCTACGAATCCATTGGAACAGAGATTCTCCCCCAGTCGAAACCAAAGTGCAAATAAAAGGCGGAGAATATTCACTGACGTAAATGTAAACAAACAAAATGCACGCACAAATCTAGCGCTGATAGAGGGCGCAAACAAAACTAATTATAATCAATTTACAGCCGGTTCTCTTCTCTACGATGATGTCATGTCCAATATTCGAAACATGCTGCATACGAAAAATCGTCAACTCTTAGAGGATCAACAAAACAGCAGCTTTAATGGAAGGAAAGTGACAGTGAACTTCAACGGTTCTCTGCCCCTTTTACCCATTGATAATGGCGAGCCAATAGAAGTGAAGCAATTGCAAGAGTATATTTATGAGCTGCAGCGTATTTCAAAATCTTTACAAAACCAAAACACCGATATGTCATCGACGCCCACACAACAATCAGAGCAATCTGCGAATATCACTGACTCACCTGACTGGTACCTGATTACTTCCCAGGGCTCAATTTATGAAGCGCGGTCGCGATCCAAACCGAAGCCAACCACTTCGTTTTTTCATCGCTTCCCTGATATACCAGTAAAACGGGGCGTAATGGTGAATAATCAGACATTGCTCTCTCCGCACGCGACACTAGCCTAAAAGCGTAGTTTCCCACGGATGTAAAAACGGAGAACGTGTCAGCTGGTACGATTTAACTTATGGGATCTGTGTGTTAACAAAAACTCATCACCTCATGAGACCGTGATGTAGACGTTGATTCTCTCTCTCTATCGACAGCAAATTTGACATGTTTCTACGTAGAAGGAGGGATATTTGTCTCCCATGCAATTTTCCTCTTTTATAATTTGCTGTGTAACTAGTTTTACTTAAGAAACAATACCCATTTGACGAATGTTGGGGAACGAGCTGAAGATTGATAATAAAAACAGCTTTGCCCGCCTTATAAAACTTCACGATGAAATTTGCTGAACTATTTTTTATATCTGTTCTATGAAAACTCTGATTGAAAGCTTCAAAGCCGTTTTTCGTTTTGTTTTTGATTGTTTCTAATTATGATGTTTTTCAAGCAAGCGAGCGACATACATATGTAAGGTTTACATACCTACTTATACATATGGTCGATGCCTTTGCAAAACCGCCAAATTCGCCGTTGTGGCAAAGATTAGCTTCGGTTTCCCTGAACGTTAGGCACCGAGAATTATGCATAAAAATCGTAAAATCACTATTAGAGCAACAGATTTGTAAAATACATATGTAATAGCTAGAGAAAATACCGCCTATCAAGGCAATGCCTTCAAAGAAGAACCGTTTTTTCTGTCTCCTGTAAAATTTGAGTGCCGTAAGATAGGCGGTTCTGCAATTGGTCGATGGGCGATTTTGTAAAGGAATCGACGATATGAACTTATAAGCACAAAGCTATTTGTAAGCATAAACTCAAACGCAAATTTCTCAAATACTTAGTTTTTCGTAAAACCCTAATTTATTTGTTCAAAGACTAACTTACATTTGTAAATGCTAAGCGGTAGCCTACATACAAACATATCTGCAAATATTTTAAACATGTAAATAAAATTATTTATATTTTTTACTATAAACAATTTATTAATCACTATTTAACTATTAACGCCAAAGCAGTTATCTGGAGTTATCTTTGCACTCACAAGGTAAAATATTAAATGAAGCATTTCTTAATTATCTGCACAGGCCTGCGATTGTTTCCCCCTTAAAAAATCAATTAGCAATTTGGGTAGGTTTAAAATAGTAAGCTACAAAAATAATAATAAAAACCTCCATCACGTAAAGCACGTCATAAGCTATCTGGTTACACAGGGATGCGTGGTATCCCCCATAAAAAACTAAATATTTGGGTAGGTATTGGGTACTACGCTACCAAAAAATAGTAAAAAAATTCCATCGCGTAAATTTTTGGGAAAACTACTCTATCGCTTTTCTTAGCGTTGCCGCTTATTAGTAGCATTTTCTTCGGAATAACAAAAGTTTAATCAAAGCGATGTACAAGCAATGTTTGTACTTCAGGGTATTCATTTCATTCTCAGGGGCGTATTTTCGTTATCCGATTTTGTTTTATTTTTATTTTTCGTAGAGCACGTTTTTATACCAAACGAACCCATCTAGGAGGAGTCTTGCTTTGGGGGTCAAAGTTGAAAAACAAGGCGCACCCTAATATACAAAGATACTTACATACATATTTAATGTAATAACTTCTCACCAAATATAAACAGACAGCAAAGTTAAGAAAATATAATGAAAAGGAATGCCAAAAATGCGAAAAAACTTGAATCGACTTGACGGCACAGGGGTACCTGGACCGTCTCCTTAACTTCTCACCACCTTCGCCAACAAACAAGCAGACTTGAAATCAAGAATAGAACTATGTGAAAGGCGGCGCATACCGCTCTTACTTCAACTCTTAAATTTATGTGTTTTCTTGTATGTGTTAGAATAACATTCACTAGTTTGAATATTTATTTATTATGCTCATCTAAATATATGACGCAAATTAGAATGTTGCATAAATTACAACAAATTCGTGTTAAGGAGAAAATACATATAAAGGTTTTAAATAACTACTAGCAAATACCCGGCGTGCTTCACTGCGCCTTAAAAGTTTTTTTTTGTGCTGTTCGATACCCGTATAGTAATATTTCATTAATTTTATTAATTTAATTGAATACAATTTTCGAAAATATTTTCGGCAGTAAACTTTTCTAAACCTCTCCAGTTTAATACCCATATTGCAATATTCAATTTATCTTATC